CTCATAAATAATTTTCGTAAGTGTAGAAAAAGATTACCACATGATCACGTAATGTACCTCAAAACCAAATAAAATTACACACTTCAGTATAGAATTGATGGTGTAATTAAAAATATACTCCCTCCGTCCCCCATAGATCTTCTCAATAGCCCTTTTTCTGTGTCCACAATAGATCTTCTCATTTCATTTTTTAACAATTAAAATACCATACCTACCTCCACTTACTTTATTTATTACCCCTCACCCACCTCATTTAATACACTCCACCCATATTTCATTAAGGATATTGTGGTAAACTTTTACCTTTTTTCAATTCTCCTTAAAAACCACCAAAAGTCAAAATGAGAACATCTTAGGGGAACAGATGGAGTAATAATTTTAAATATCAAATTTTAAAGATAAACTTTTACTCAAATCTAAAGGGAAAATATGGCGAGATTAAGAATTGCATAAAACTATATCCTCAACATTTTAAAAATGAAATCAAATGCAGATTTTTTTTAAATGCCCAACCACTAAGAATCCATCAGACTTTAGAATATTTTGGTATGAGGTTAACATCAAAATATTGAAATTGGATTTTGAAAAGTAGAATTTGATTTCAAAGGGGCATATCAATCTCAAATTCCAAAAAAAAAAGTATTAAAAAGAGTAATTTCAAATTTGTCCTATGATGATAATTATTCTATACTATTAAAGTGTGTGATATATCACTTTTGGAAATTTCTTAACACTCTATTTGAAAAATTATTATCACTCTATTCCATTACATTCTCTTTTAGTCTGAAAAGTAGAATTTGATTACAAAGGGGCAAGATGTGCATATTAATCTCAAATCAAAAAAAAAAACATAAAAAAAAATAATTTCAAAATTTTTGGTTGAGAGTGTTAAGAAATTTCCCCTCAAGGTTGGGTAGAACGTAAGCTTGAGATTCTATAAGTTGTAAAGACACGACAACTTATAGAATCTCAAACCATTTAACAAAAGTTTAAATGGATTGTGAATAATGTTGCCCCTTAACACCATCAGTTAAACAAAATTTCTTAACACACTTATAAGTTGCAGCTTCATTCATCAACCGTTCACAGGTTTAACAAAAGACACATCAAAATTTTAGACTATGACCCAAAATTTGCTGCAACTGCAAAACTTGTAGCAACACCTCCAACTTCAAAACACTCTACTGCACCTCCTCCACCCGTGAATCACTCATCCCAGAATTCAGTCCTTTCAGCCTCTGCTGCTGCTTTTGTTCCCAACTCTACTCACACTTTTTTCACTCCCTTGGTAATCCCTCATTTCCTTGGATGCTCAAACTCAAATTGTGAGATGGAGAGTTCACAGTGGAGCAAGAATCTAAATATGACATAATGTATACCATAAAATCTTCGAGACCCATCACCCGGAGTCCATTCAAATTAACCCCAAAAACTATAAACAACCAAAATCTAAAAGAGCTCAATTTGAACCAGCTAAAAACCAAAACTCACATTAGAGTTTAATTCTCTGTATAAGGTCAAACAATGATTTTATTTGAGGATTGAAAATGAAAGATTAAATAAAGAAACAGATGTGTACCTCCCTATAGAGCCACACTCATGGTCAATTGATCATCCTCCACAACCTGTTTAAAAATTTTTACAGGAACTTCAAAAATTTGAAAGGTTGCCCTCAGTGTCAAGTATCTTTAATGGAAGATGTTTACAGAACTTCTCATTGGCGTGTGCAATTGACCAGGAGGAAATTTTTTTTATCTGCTTCAATGTTGAATTGAAGCTCTAGTCACTTTATTCATGAAGTAGATCATTATAGGTACACTATATATACCAAACAATAACACCAGGTGCAATAGCTTTAAGCCTTCCAATAAGGGTTTAAGACCTAACATCAAGACACACATTGCATACGCAAGTGTTTGAGGGAAGAGGAATTTGCAATAAGACCATCTAATATAGTAGCAAAAAATACTATTACCAAAAACTATTCTATATCATTTCAATTATGATGCCTCCAAAGTGGGTATTCCCAAAGCATGCAATGCCAGTATGCACAAAAATACTTTTAAGATTCTTAGAGCATGGGTATGCAAACAAAGTTGCTCCATCAGGGAGTAATGACAAAAAGAAAGTTTATTAGCCTACTGTATTGGAGCCTTTTATATTCAAAGATATTTTACCGAGGAGTTATTTGAAAAGCTTAACATTAGGATTCAAACACTCACATTTCTCTATAAACAGAAAATGAAATTAAACATAAAATTATTTAATATTTGATAATCCAATTTATAAAATTGGATTTTATTTATCTGAAAATCATGATTTAATAAAAAGAACATTTTAAAATTGGAATTGTATAACTCTCTGACCGTATTATACCAAATTGTATGTCTTGCAAAATCGCTGCTTAGAAGGCATAGCCACCATCCTCTTCGTCTAGACCTAAAGTTAAGCCGGCAAATCCACCCACCCGCAAGAATGGGGGAAGACATCGGTGCCCTAGAAATATAGCTTCCAACCTCAAATTAAGATACCCCATCTCAGAAATACAAAGAATTATGATGAAGAATTTGAATTAAAAAAATAATAGTAATACCTCAATCTCACTGCCCCTGGAATCATCTTTTAAAATCGATTGAGGATCGAAACTACAGTGCTAAGGTTGCACCCGAAGTTAAAATCAAACTTTCATCAGAGATTGCTAGAAGGGAATCTGAAAATATTGATTATTATAAACCCTAGCCGTGAAATTCATGGGTAAGCATGGCCGAATTTTTAGTATGAGACATAATTAACTAATGCTAAAAACAATCGAAACATACTTGAGGTAGCCATTGTCCCTGCCGTGTCTTCTTTGTTGACGTCGTCGGCCTCGGTAGTTGCTCATGAACAATAGATGGCGAAGAAAAATCAAGAAACAGGGGGAAGGGACAAAGAAGCAGAGGCGGTCGCCATGGCCGTCATCCCGCGGGCGGACAGAGTTTGGAGATCTATGCGACGAAATCGTGGAAACCATCTTCTCTTTCGTCCCCCTGAAATCCCTAGCGAAGCTGGAGACCGTTTCCGAATCATGGCGGCAATTGATTGCCAGAGTCCGGCTCCACCACCCGCCCGTCACCGACTCTGGTCTCGTTCTCCACCTCTGGTCCTTCGGAGGCGCAAGAATCTCTCAAAAATCCGTCTTCTTGAAACTCCACTACCCCCACAACGCCGAGCTCTGCACCGTCAACTCCTCCGCCCCGAACAAATTCCCCTTCTTGATCGATTCTTGCAACGGGTTAATCCTCTACGGCGTCGAGGACGACAAAAAGACTTGGAATTACATCGTACATTCACAGGTTTCCGACCAATCCATAGTTTGTGTGGCGAGAACTGCGGTTTCCGCCTTATCCGAGAGATGTGCCTCTCATTCTGCCAGAGATCGTGGGTTGAACGGTTGACATAACATTTGGGCGGCAAATGAGAGGCACATCTCTCGGATAAGGCAGAAACCGCAGTTCAACAATTGGGCCTTTTACAAAAAAAAGAGTAAAATATCTACTTGCCAACCCAAGAAAAATGAGGGAAGATCAACATTTCACATGTGTACTTTAGAACCAGAGAACAACAACTCTATACAAAATTATATTGAAAGCTATTGTTGGAGTTCTTAATTTAAATATGAAGAAAGAGAATTAAAACGTAGAGAGAGAGTGAGTGGAAATGAGGAATATGGCGTAGGAAGTGTTTTCCCCCGTTATTAATAATAGAGTGGAAAATGAGAGGGCATTATTATCCCACACCGGAAACGCACTGTACCGCCTGGGAAACGAAATAGGTATTAAAGGCAAGGCCAGCCTCAACAATAAACTATCTTTGCGCTTGGGGCAATGACGTAGCTAGTGAGGTAATAACCGAGGCGCGTCTATTGCTGGTTGAAAACTATTTCCAAACCCCCTCTTTGGCTTTGGCTTGTCCTTAGCCATTGAGAATTTTTGGAAGGGTCCCTTTCATTAGGAACCCTACAAAATATAGATCAATTTTTTAAGTGGTCAATAATCACTAATTTGTTATAAGCCAGGAACAATTAATGGGAAATGACAAGGTAGAAGTAAAAGAAAAGAAAAAAAAAGAAAATGCTAGGGGTATTTCAAAGGGAACCCAAATGTCAAAGAAATGAATGGCAAAGTACCCCTAACATCTCCCTCAAAAAAACGTACAAAAGAAATGAAGTAAATCTAATTAGACTTCAACAAGGTTTTTCGATGTTTATGTACAAAAATAAAAAACCTATACTCTCGTCTTAATATTATCTTCTCAGTTTGATCGAAGCTTATTTTTAAGAAAATTATATATATGACTTTGACCTTCCAAAGATACTCTCCTAAAATTGAAAAATAAAAATATGGATTTTTTAATGTGGGAGGTAACTTTAGGACGTGAAAAAAGGGGAGTGAAAGAACATTTTAGAACGGAGGTAATAATACACGTGTTTAACCTTTTCAAACACATTATATTGGTTTATGGTGTAAGTTTGTACGGAATAACTAATACTATATTTAAAGCGTTAACAAACTTTTTTTTCAAATTATGAAATTTTTGTTACTCATACGTTTAAAGAATATTTTTTTGAAACAACATTTAAAGAATATAAAAATGAAAAAAATCTACTTTTGCACCACTTTGCGTACACCAAATTGTATTGTATATCAAATAATTCAAATTATAGTTTACAAAAACCACTCAAATTAGAAATTTTCGAAAAACAATTTATTTTAACTGAGTGAAGTGAAAAGAGGAATATGAGATTAAAGAACACTCCGGGTAATATTTTCCCTTGAGGGAGATTTTTTGATTTGTGTGAGAACTTGAGGTCTTTATTTCTCATTTCCTCTCCAATTTCAAATTGGTAGAAGCATGATTTCTTCTTAAATCCGATAAAACGGGCCGGGTATGGGTGGGGTCGAAACCCGTCGATTTCCAGTATGATTTTAATCGTTTCTTTCATATTTCCCGAATTCACACTTACTCGGAATTCCTAGATTATACAAGAAAACTTGTTTCGCCCATCAAATTTGGAGCCAAGAATGGTTTCTAATATCAAATTCTGTTGACGCCATGAGCAAAATTAAGCTGCAGTGTTTTGACATAGTGCGAAAGCCCAGTCAGCCATGGCGGAAACTCCAAACTCTTGCGAATTCGACTCCAAGAATCCCCCAGAAATCTGCTTTTCCTGATAAAAATGGAACCTTGGGTGCGTTGTCGGAACCTGGCTCCGTAGATGATGCCCGCGTTGTGTTCGACCAAATGCCTGAGAAGGATGTGTTTGCGTGGAACGCAATGATTTCGGCATATGCAGAAGCAGGGATGCTTGATGAGGCAAGACAGCTGTTTGACAAGGCCCCAAAGAAGTCTGCCTTCACTTGGTCCACACTCCTTTCCGGGTACTCGAAACACGGGTTGGAAAACGAAGGCTTTGAACTGTTTAGGGCGATGCAGAGAGACGGGAAGAAGCCGACCGGGACCACACTTGCCAGCATTCTCAGGATATGTTCTGCCAAGCGTTTGATTTTTGAAGGAGAGCAGGTTCATTCATATTCAATAAAGACTCGATTCGATCTAGACATCTTTGTAGCTACTGGTCTTGTAGAAATGTATGTGAAATGTATGCGCGTCGAGGAAGCCGAATCTGTTTTCAACTCAATCTCAAATGGCAAAAATCATGTCACTTGGACCTCAATGATCTGTGGGTATTCTCAGATTGCCTGCTTTTCAAAAGCCATTGACTGCTTTCGGAGGATGAGAGCAGAAAATGTTAAGGCCAACCAGTACACGTTCCCCGGCCTTCTCTCTTCTTGTTCTGCACTATCTGACCTGAAATTCGGCGTTCAAGTTCACGGCAATGTTCTTCGCGACGGGTTTGGTTCAAATCTGTTTGTGCAGAGCGCGTTGGTGGATATGTATGCCAAATGTGGAGATTTGTCCAGTGCCAGAAAAGAGTTGGAGTCTATGTCCTTTGATCACATAGTTTCTTGGAATGCCATGATGCTAGGGTGTGTCAACCATGGGTTTCCCATTATGGCATTGTCATTGTTCAAGGACATGGTTTCTAGAGATATGGACATAGACAATTTCACGTACCCTTCGGTTATTAACTCTCTTGCTCTCTTAAAGGAAGCGACGAATGGAAAATGCATCCACTGTTCGGTCATCAAGACCGGGTACGACGGGTACAGGCTGGTCGGAAATGCCCTTGTGGACATGTACGCGAAACAAGCGGAGTTGGTTTGTGCGAGGGAAGTGTTCGAGGGTATAATGGACAAAGACGTGGTTTCGTGGACGTCCCTCGTCACCGGCTACGCTCATAACTGCATGCACGAAGAGTCGTTGAAGCTGTTTCGCGAGATGATGTCGTCCGCTGATGTCACTCCCGACCCGGTCATCTTCTCCAGCGTCTTGAGTTCGTGTGCGGAGATTGCAGTTCTTGATTTGGGACGACAAATCCACGCTAGCTATATGAAATCGGGCCTCACCACGTCAGCGTCTGTCGATAATACCCTCGTCGCCATGTACGCGAACTGCGGGTCCCTCGAAGACGCAGACCGGGTTTTCGATTCAATGCGTTCCCGCAGCGTGATTACGTGGACTGCCCGAATAATCGGTTATGCCCAAAACGGGAGAGGGGAAGAATCAGTGAGATTGTATGGCAGCATGATAAGCGAAGGGATTGAACCGGACGCGGTTGCGTTCATAGGCCTCCTCTTCGCTTGCAGCCGAGCCGGTCTGGTCGAGCTCGGGCGGTCCCACTTCGAATCCATGGAACCCGTCTACGGGATCAAGCCCGGGGCCAACCACTACGCGTGCATGACCGACCTTCTAGCGCGGGCCGGGAAGACGCAAGAGGCCATGGAGCTGGCGGCCGGCGCGGGGCCCGACGCGGCCGTGTGGAAGGCGCTGCTCTCCGCATGCGGGGTCCACGGAGACGTCCCCGCGGCGGAGAAGGCCGCGGCCGTGCTGTTCGAGCTGGACCCGGAGGACGCGGCCCCGTACGTCATGATGTCGAACATATACTCCGCCGCGGGTAGATGGGACGAGTCCTCCGGAGTCCGGGCACGGATGCGGGCGGGCGGGGCCCGCAAGGAGCGGAGCTACAGCTGGATCGAGACGGGCGGGGCGGTGCACAAGTTCCTGTCCGGGGACCGGGACCACCCGAGGGCGGGGGAGGTTTTTGCAAAGGTCGAGGATGTCCTGAGGGCGATCGAGGAGGCGGGGTACGTGCCGGACGTGAACTGCGCTCTTCACGACATCAACGAGGAAGGGAGGCGGGAGAGCGTGGCTTACCACAGCGAGAAGCTGGCGGTGGCGTTCGGGCTTCTTTACGCGCCGGAAGGGGCGGCCATTAGAGTGTACAAGAACCTCAGGGTCTGCGGGGATTGCCATGCCGCCATGAAGTTCATCTCCAAGGTCTTCCAACGCCATATCATTCTCAGGGACTCTAATTATTTTCACCATTTCAGGCTTGGGACCTGTTCTTGTAGAGATTATTGGTAGATCCATATTTTTAATTAGCAGCAAGATTGTTTTTTTCTGTGTCTAAGGTATATTTCAATAATGTTGGGTACACCAAAATAGGTTACCCATTAGTACACCATTATTAACAGACGCACAGACACTTCAGATATTGGTGCGGAGTGTGTTTAGGTCGGGATAGGGTGGGGCTTTACCGGAGAGTGTTTGGGTCGGGATAGGGTGGGGCTTTACCGGAGAGATATGAATCGCTAATTTTGCTATAAGCATCTAAATTTTTGTTAATGTTAGTGTATTTTAGTGGAATAGAACAAACTATAGTATGTATAACCTTCAATTAATAGATTTTTCATTGGAAACCTTATTTTATGTAATATTTTTAATAATTATATGAGAAATGCTAAAATTCCAAATAAAATTGTCACAAAGTTTACAAACTTATATTTGTAAACACAAAGAAAAATTGTGTGTAAATAGTCTTAAATGGTTAAAAGAGTGGAAATTTAAACACATACGATGATACGACTATATACTCGAGTAGTAAGCTTGTAACAACAATTCTATTTGTTACTCTAGCATTTCCCTAGTGACATGTTATCGTTTTGTAAAGAACTTTACTACTCCGAATTTCATTTTAATCTGTTTTACTCTCTTTGTCTCAATTTAAATTGTTCTTTTCGATTTACGATGTTTGAGTAAAGTTTTTTTTAATATAATTTATTTTATAATTGAGATGAAATTTTAAATTAAAATTTATATACTAAAAAAACTAAATCAAAAGTTAGTGAAACAAGGTAACATGATTATATTATTATATTATTTTATCAATTGAATAATAAAAATAAGATAAATGTGAATAAAATTTTATCATGTGAATGGTAAACAGACAACTTAATTTGAATTTATTTCTCATATTTTTTAAAAAAAGAAACACAACTTTCACAACATTTCTTTGTTAGTTTAATACTATAAAATTTACAAAATTCACAACATTTCTTTGTCACTTTAATAATACGGAGTACTAAACTATAAGTACATACGAGTATTTTTCATATTTTAATATATTTTCAAATTCTGTAAAAAATTAAAGGTTTCACTAGACAAAATCAGCGCAATCCAATACTCCCTTTCCTTTCCGGAATTGAAACGCATTTCGTACCCGAAAGCTGGTCAGTAATCCACTTTTGACCGACAGAGAGATCAGAAAAGAGAAATGTTTTAGCAACAAGAATGAATATGTTCGACGGTTTTTTTTTTTTTAGTTTTTTGATTTTTGAATTAAATTTTCTTTTCACCAAAAGGAGGCTGTAAATCGTTGAACGGAACTTCTGCTCCCCACAGAGTTTTATAAGCTACGGAGGGAGAGAACAGAGAACTCATTCTTCTCTCTCTCCATTGTCTGTGATCTTCAATCTTCAAGAGAAGAAAGATTTGGGATTTTGGGTATTAGCTGGTTAGAATTGGAAAATGAATATGATGCGTCGCCTCAAGAGCATTGCTTCTGGCCGTTCTTCTGTTTCTGATCCTGTAATCTCCTCTATTCTTTCTGTACTTAGTTTGATCTTCCATTTCAGTTCAGATTGACCAAAAAAGATTGATTTTTTTTAGCTTTTCTGGGATTGGAGTTTGTGGATTTTGTTTGAATTTTCAGAATTTCAAAAAGTTCCACAGGTTTTAAAGATTTGAGTGTGGATATATGCTTTGGTTGAGAGCTTTAGAGTTTTAAGCTGTCAATTGTCCTGTGACATGATGTTTATTCGAGAATCAGGAGGAAAGATTGAATCTTTGCTGCTTATGTGTTGCTTTTTCCTCTTCTTGAGATCATGAGATGCTTCTTGAATCAGTGGTTTTAAAGATTTGAGTGTGGATATATGCTTTGGTTGATAGCTTTACAGTTTTGAGCAGTCAATTGTCCTGTGAAATGATGTTTATTCAATAATCAGGAGGAAAGATTGAATCTTTGCTGCTTATGGATTGCTTTTTTTTCTTTCCTTGAGATCATGAGATGTTTCTTGAACCAGTGGTTTCTTGTCTCGTTTTCTTTACTGCATGTTTAAAATATTCAATCATCTTAATCTGGGTATAGATGCTTTATTCTGACTAGAGTGAATGCTAAGACTGGCTTTGATAGACAGAAAGGCTTATTGTGATTCCAAAACCAGCAAGTTACCCCCACAAATGCAAACCAAATGCACCTTTGTGTGGGGCTAGGTGTTGATAATTTCTAAAGCATCCCACATCCGAAATTTCCATATCACCACCATGTAAACTTATCGTGTGTTCCCTTCATTATTTTTTTTACTTACAGTTATGACTTCTGTGATGAATCAAACGTTGAATGAATATAGACATGCATCATGTCTACATTCAAGAATAGAAGTGAATGGAGGGAGTAGGTTTTAGGCTTGAGGATCATACACTCCAGTTCAGCTCTTAATATGCTGTCAAGAAAATTATTCAAAACTAATCCCTTCTTTTTGTTTTACTTCAATGGACTTTCCTAGGGAGGGGAATATACCATTACGAGGGTGAAGAGTGAAAGGATGCATGTCGCTGAGCCCGAATCAGATGTGGAAGTGTCGAATGTTGCAGAATCTGAAAAGTCTGGCCACAATGAGCTTCCCAAGAAAATGCTTGAATTGAAAATTGGAGACGACAAAATTGATCATCACAAGTCCTACTTAAAGGTTAAAAGATTTTGTTTCGTCGAATGATAAGAATTCAAAATTGGGTAGAGGTCACTAAAAGTTTGAATCAAATCCAACTCAAGGCTTTATTAACCCATATTTTGCGTACTCCGTGACAGGATATGGAGACGCCGGTTGTTGTTTGTGGTAACGGAACAGAAGTGGGTCAGATAATTGTAACAAGCGTGGGAGGCCAAAGTGGGCAGCAGAAACAGGTGAATTGAACTCCCATAGTTTGGACATTCTTGGGATTTCCTATTTTACATAATGTTGTTTCTACTCCCTTGGATTAGTATAGCGTCATAGTTCTCATATTGATTTTGTGTTTCCAGACATTGTCCTACATGGCAGAACGTGTGGTTGGGAGTGGCTCGTTCGGAGTTGTCTTTCAGGTGAATTAGGACATAACAACACAAAACAATGTCCTATAAAATATTGTCATTATTTTCGTGTTCTAATCCTCATTTTGCTAAACATGATAGGCAAAATGCCTTGAAACTGGGGATGCTGTTGCAATAAAGAAGGTGCTTCAAGACCGGAGATACAAGAACAGGGAACTCCAAATTATGCGCTTAGTTGATCACCCAAATGTGGTTAAGCTGAGGCATTTTTTCTACTCGACCACCGAGAAGAACGAGACGTACCTTAACCTGGTGCTGGAGTATGTGCCCGAAACTATCTACCGAGTTTGTAGGCACTATACCAGAACTAACCAGCATTTGCCCATCATATACGTTCAATTGTACGCGTACCAGGTACAAAGTTTACATTTTTACTACTCTTGTAGATTATCACATCCTATCCTATTCCTACATTCGGAGTATATTTTTACATTATTTATTTATAAAGTAAATTTAACTTGTTTGAAACACTTTTTGTTGGAAAAACTATATGAGTTTCAATGAAAACTTAGTTCCCTTTGTAAAAAAAAGATTCTTTTTTTCTTCTACGAAACTACATCTTGCAACATGACACCTCTCTTTTTGTGCTTTTGGAACAGATGGAGTATATTTTTTTAAGTGTTCTACTTCAATTATGTGTATTTCTTCTATTTTACAGATTTGTCGAGCCCTAAATTATATTCACAGTGTAGTCGGTGTGTGTCACCGTGATATTAAACCCCAGAATATATTGGTGAGATTATTTTCTTGATCCCTTTTATCCAAAGTTTACTTTTTTCATGTCAAGAATAAATCTTTGGCCTAACTTACCCGAAAGAGTTGAAGTTCTATTCATATTTAGCTGATATGGGATTACTCCAACTTTCTTTTGGAAAGCCTGTGATTGGATATAAATTAAAGGCTGTGTCCTTTGCTGTATTTTTTGCAGGTTAATCCCCATAGTCATATGATAAAGCTTTGTGATTTTGGGAGTGCAAAGAAGTTGGTATGTGATACGGAGTATTATTGATATTTACTTGGAAAATGATCATTTTTTTTTCATTTTATATTTTCTTGAGCACCACTTGTGGGACGACTTTACTGGGTTGTTATTGTTGTTTTTTTTTGAAAAATATTAATAATTTATTTTATTTGGTGTTAGGTCCGCGGTGAGCCGAATATATCATACATCTGTTCACGTTACTACAGAGCTCCCGAACTAATCTTTGGGGCTACCGAGTACACGACCGCTATAGACTTGTGGTCTGTTGGTTGCGTCATGGCTGAGCTACTTCTCGGACGGGTGATTACCACACTTACACACACTCTTGTTACAGTATAAAACCTTTCTCGGCCTTCAACCAGAAATTTGAGCTTTTGGTTGAGTTGGTTCTTTGAGGGCTTTCATTCAAACCAGAGGTCACGAGTTCGAACCTCACCACCACCCAATTCAAATAATTAATGTCTATGTTGATAGAATTTTAGGATGGGGTATGGACAACTGGATTGGGTAATAAGACACTTGGGTTGAACCACATTAAAAGATTGAATCCAATCGATTAGTTAGTTCAACTCAAGAGCTTATATACCGATTAATTTTCTCACAGTATGGTTCGAGCAAAAACAAATCTCTTGGGCAAGCTTGAACTTTTGGTTGAGATGGTTCCACGAAAAACGTATTTTTTTTAGTAGTAACAAATATACTTACTTCTTTTAATATGCAGCCTCTATTTCCAGGGGAAAGCAGTATTGATCAGCTAGTCGAAATCATCAAGGTTTGCCATCAAGTTTCTCCGATGAAACTTGTGATTTTTTTGAATTTTTTTTTTGCCGAAATCTCTTTATTTATTTACATTTTTGTTCATCAGATTTTGGGGACGCCGACTAGGGAGGAGATCAAGTTGATGAATCCAAACTATACAGAGTTCAAGTTTCCCCATATCAAAGCTCATCCCTTTCACAAGGTCTGTTACAACAACTAGCAATCTTTGGATTTTGGAAAGGAAAAATAAAAATAAAAAAAATCTAAGCATTCATTGTTCAATGGGTTTATTTGTTTTTCAGGTCTTTCATAAGAGGATGCCGACCGAGGCAATGGATTTAATCTCAAGACTGCTCCAATACTCGCCATCTCTGCGTTGTACAGCTGTAAGCGGAAATTAAGGCCTCGTTTGGTAGTTGTTTTTTTGTACTTATTCCTCTTATTTCACTTGCTTATTTGGCTCCTTAACAGCTGGAGGCGTGTGCACACCCGTTCTTTGA